AATCTACAATTAAAATTAAATAAATCAAAGCCAAAAGACAAAAGGAAGTGCAAATGGAGTTTGGGTTTTCAATGCGGGGGACAACTCGGCGGGTTGAATCAGGCAAGCAGCAGCGGCAAGCGGCAGCACTGGCGGCAACGCAGGCAGCACCGACGGCCAGGCAAAATCAGTCAACGATGGAGTTCTAGAGATGGAGATTCTGTCATCGCCGGAGAAGACAAACAACTAATTCTAAAATTCTTAATTATCATCCATAATCTTAGAAGAATTTAGTTTTTAAAATCGTTCAAGATCGCACGATCTCGCGATTTTGTGCGCGATCTTCGATCGATTCTTCAAGACCCACGATTTTTGTCCTATTCAAATCGTTGAAGCCCCTTAACATCGTAAAATCGTGCGATCTTAGGATTTAGACCGCGATTTTAACAACCATGCTGGGCACTACAACAACTTCCTCAACGACCACCTTGTCTTCCACCTCCTCGTCATCGCTCTTAATGAGGACACGTCGTTTAGCCCTCGTCTTCTTTCGACCCATGATGACGATCAATCAAATCCTGAAACTCATTTTTGTTCTCCTTTTTGAAATGAAAGAAGTTGCCAATGGCAAACCGGTGAATACAGTGACAAAGAAGTGGCAGTAGGTGTGGATGATGGAGGAGATAATTTAAGATTTCCAAGAGGCTTAGTATATATATATAACGAAAGTATATCTGTTATGATGTTCATCTTTACTATTAATTAATTATATGTAAATAAATGTATCCGTTATGTATATAATGAAGTGTATCCGTTACAAAAAAGAGAGAGGCGACTGTATAAATAAGGAAATGCCACAAAATGTGAAAAGACGCAATTGGGGCTAGATTCATGATGTGAGACGGTGAGATGTAGATCAGACGGCTGATGTTGGCGAGTGGGAGGGAGGCGAGTATCTAGCAGGCTTTTGAAGGAAAGTAACCGTCGATGGTGGGTGAGATCGCAATTCCTATATAAAATGCTTACCCTATTAATGCATAGGGTAGCATTTTATATATATATATAGATTAGAGTGTTGAACACATGAGGGTTATTGATTGACTAAATATAAAAAATAATTAATCCTAAATTGATTTGAACAATTAAAAAATAAAGAATTTTTTATTAAAAATAATTAAAGAAAATAACAATCAAAATAAAGATAACCAAGATATAAGGTATTAAGGCATTTGACTTCACCATAACCAACCAACATAGAATTTCATATTACTATGCTTTTAAGATATTATTACTCACATAATAGCAGGATTTTCTATCCTATTCGATATACTTTTTCAAGTTAAATCAAACATATTTTTACCAATTAACTTATTATAAAAATGCATTACATTCTATTAAATTCTCTACTTATATAAAAAATTAAGTTCACTTATCACTAATACTGTACAAATCATATTGGTTCATCTCTGACCTTCATTTAATTCATAGTATATATTATTAGAAACTATTGTATAAAAAGTATTAAAAAGGTGATCAAGTATTAAAAAGTATTAAAATCAATAATATATACTCATTATAAAATAGAAATTTCAAAATCATACAAACATATATCAGATTGATTAGATTATATTGTAACCTTAGTTGATTGAATTAATTTATAAGAAAAATATTAAGGCAAAAGTAAGGAATAAGAACCGAACTTGCACAAAATTCACAATTTTGGACCTAAACTTCAATTATGCGGAATTAAGGTCCTAATTAGACAGAAAACTAACTTGCCATCAAATGCCTCACAACTTTATTAATGTTCGTTACTCTCTCACCCAACTGGAATGATGATGTGAAAAAAACATTCTCACTGCGAGGTTGTGAGGTTGGGAATCAAAGAAAGACTTTCTTATTGATATATAGAACTAGTAACATTACAGAGTGTATATATAGGGAATGTAATTAAGTCATTCTACTAAAAGAGGAAAGAAAATATATACAATATATTTAGCAATTATAGTGCAGTAGATGCAGATTCACGTAATTACACCAATAGATTCAGTTTCCTTAACACGCCCCCGCAAGATGGTGGTGCCATCAGCAACGTCGATCTTGGACCGTAGATGGGTGAAACGAGATGAAGACAGGGGCTTGGTGAGCCCATCAGCTAGCTGATCTTGGGATGAAATGTGAGAAACATGAAAAACCCCTTTGTCAACTAAATCGTGAACGAAATGGAGATCAATGGCAATATGCTTCATCCGAGAGTGGAGAACAGGATTAAGGCTAAGGTAAGTTGCACCAACATTATCACAGAACAGTGCTAGAGATTGTGGACAGGGTACCCCAAGCTCAACCAACAAATTCTTGATCCAAACAAGCTCAGAAGTTGCAACAGCTAAGGCCTGATACTCAGCTTCAGTGGAGCTGTGGGCAATTGCCTTTTGCTTAGCAGCACGCCAGGAAATAGGATTTTGTCCAAGGAAAACAAGGTACCCCGTGGTGCTAATCATTGTGCTGCGATCAGCTGCCCAATCTACATCAGAATAGGCATGGAGAGAAAGAGAGCGCTGAGGGCGAAGCAGGATAACATGATTGAGGGTGCCATGTAAATACTGAAGTGAGCGTTTGGCGGCCTGCTAGTGCAAGTCTGTAAGATTGTGCATGAATTGAGCCAATCGACTAATGGCAAAGGAAAGATCTGGCCATGTGAGGGAGAGGTATTGAAGAGCGCCAATAAGCTGCCGGTAGTGAGAACCATCAGAGAGGGCATTGTCGGAAGTAGAATGCAGATCCAAATGAAGTGCAAGAGGAGTAGAGACAGGCTTAGCGTCTTACATGCTAAACCGATGAAGCAAATCAGAGATATATCGACACTGAGAGAGAAAGAGACCAGCAGTGGTATGAACAACCTCAATACACAGAAAAAAAACTGGTGGATCCCAAATCCTTTAAAACGAACCGATTGCCCATAACAGTAATGAGAGAATTGAGAGCAACAGAGTCACTTCTAGTGAGGAGAGTATCATCAACATAAACCAAAAAATAAATCCATGTAGATTGCTTGTGATAAATAAGCAAAGAACTATCTGACCGAGAGTGAGTAAATCCCAGTGAAACTAGAAAATTCTTAAGCTCCTGAGACTAGGCACGAGGTGCTTACTTAAGCCCATAAATCAATTTTTGTAACCAACAAACATGGTCTAGAAATTTAGGATCAATAAAGCCTGCAGGCTGGTGCATAAATAATTCTTCCTCAAGGTGACCGTGTAGAAAGGCATTGTTGACATCAAGTTGGCAAATAGGCCAACGCTTGCTAACAACAAGGGACAAAACAATGCGAATAGTAGTAGGTTTAATCACTTGACCGAAAGTATTAAAGTAATCATAACTTGGCCATTGATGGAATCCCTTAGCAACAAGACGGGCTTTATACCATTCAATACTACCATCCTTTGCGCGCTTGAGCCTGAAAACCCATTTACAACCAATCAAATGCTGATTAGAATTAGGAGGAACAAGATCCCACGTACCTTGGCGAACAAGAGCACTGAACTCATCAGACATGGCCTACCTCCAATTGGGATGTTTGACAGCTTGAGTCACACACGTTGGTTCACTAGGGATGGTGACAGCTTGGTGTAGGAGTTTGGGTTTAATGTTGAGAACGGGTAATCATAGGGTGAGTCCAACTAGGCACAAAGGGTGAGGGTGGTTCACGGGTTTCAGCTAGGGAGGATTCAACAGGTTAAGGGTTGGGGGGGGGGGGGAGAGGATGTAAGGGAGTGAGCTAAGTTGGAATTAGTGGGCCAAGGGACTTGAGTTGGTTGGAGAGTTGGAGCAGGAAAAGGAACCTCACGAGCCAAACCTCCATGGGGTGCCAGGGACGGTGGCGATAGTAACGTGATAGGAGCCTTCAGCAAATCTTGGGAAGCAGAAAAAAAAGTAGGAGCAGGGGATGGTGATGACGATTGCACATGAGTAGGCAACTTGGACAAAAATGGGAACTACTGTTCATGAAAAATAACCTGACGAGAGTGAAATAACTTACCAGTGTTGAGGTCAAGACACTTATAAGCAAGGTTTTTGAAAGAATAGTCGACACATAAACAAGGGCGTAACCTATATTGAAGCTTGTTGGAGTTGTAAGGCTTCAGCCATGGAAAACAGAGGCACCCAAAACACCCTAAGTTTGAAAAAATTTGGTTGAACCTTAATTAATTTTTCAAAAGGAGATTTGTTAGATAAAACCGAGGAGGGTAGCCTATTTATAAGATAAACTGCAGTTTCAAAGGCATATGACTAGTATTTGGATGGCAGGGAAGCAGTGTAAAGAAGAGTGAGACCAGTTTCCACTATATGGCGATTACAACGCTCACTAATATCATTAAGTTCTGGGGTATAAGGAGGAGTGGTAAACTGAGAAATTCCATTTTTAGACAGGAATTTACGAAGAGCAGTATATTCGCCCCCGCTGTCCGAATGGAAGTTTTGGATTAATCGACTAAATTGCTTTTCAACAAGACTTTTAAATTTTGGAAAAATGAGGGAGACATTAGATTTGTGCTTAATGGGATAAATACAAGTGTATCAACTAAAAAAGTCAATGAACAATACAAAATAGTTAAATCCATCAATAGAGGTGGTTGGGGCAGGTCCCCATACATCCGAAAAAATGTGTTCAAGAGGAAATTTGCTTGTAATTGAAGTAGTTGAGAAAGGAAGTTTTTGACTTTTAGAACATGCACAAGATTCACATGAAGAAAATTTTGTTTTATTAGATAATGGAAGATTGCAAACATTAATAATATGGCTTAGGGTCTTTGTTGAAGGATGACCTAGTCACGCATGCCAATTTGCTATAGATGTACGTTTTCCCACAAATGCTTGGGGAGACGAACTAATGTTTCCTTGAATTTGGTAAACCCCATGAATGTTTGGCCCTTGAAGGAGAGTCTTCTTCGTGCAACAATCCTTCACAAAAAAAAAGAATTGGCATGAAATTCAATAAAAACATTAGCATTTTTGCATACTTGAGAAACCGAGATTAAATTGCAAGAGGCGGAAGGGACACATAAAACATTGTGTAAAGGTAGATTTGTTTGTGGTGTGGAAAGTGTGGAATGACCAACATGTGTGATTTTCAAACCTGTGCCATCACCAATTTGAAGCTCTTCAGGACCATTATATTCTTAGTGAAGAGCCAAGTTTGCCAAGTCTATGGTAACATGATGGTTGGCACTAGAGTCGAGTAGGCAGTCGTCAAGGATGGCTGCAGACGAAGAGGCAGCATGAGCCATAGGTCTTAAAGCTTGAACTCGAAAGTTAGGACAATTAGTTGCAAAATGCCCATCAAGTTTGCATAATTGACAAGTTAATCCAGCAGGCCTGTTGGAAGTTCGTAAGCCTTGATTACGGCATTTGAGATGACTGGGCCCTAGTGACCAAGAGGTAGAACTAGAGCTTCCTTTAGTCTGGAAAGACTACTGGAAGGGTTGAGTGTTGCATCCAGCAGATGAAGATCTTGCATTTGAAGAGGGTGAGTTCAACATACCAGGAATATTAGCATAATGAGCAGTTATCGGAGCAGAGTTAATCCGAAGGTCATCTCTCTTTAGGCTTTCCTCATAAGCAACTAAGCGGTCATGTAAGTCATCAAATGACAGAGAGGAGTCGTGGGTGTGAAGAGAGGCAACAATCTCTCGAAATCCTGGTCCCAATCCATTGAGAACGTACACAGTCAGATCGTCATCAGTGAGGGGAAGATCAACACTCCCAAGCTCATCAACCACTGTTTTCAGGGATCGAAGATATTCTGAGAACGAGTGACCATCACGCTTCATAGTTTGAAGACGTTCCTTCAAGGTAATGACGCGAGTTTGAGACCGATTAGCGTAGAGCTTAACTAGTGTTTCCCAAGCTTGTTGGGCTATTGTCGCAACTGCTATGTATGGGGTTATGGCTTCTGAAATAGAGGTGAGAAAGGCATGGTGCAAGAGTTGATCTTGGCGTGCCCAGAAGCTATATGTGGGTTCAGTTGCTATTGGGCAAGGATGAGTTCCATCAATGAAGCCATCGAGCTCATAACCCCTAAGGAGAGACAAGATTTGAGCCTTCCATGACATGTGGTTGTTTGGTGTGAGTTTGACTGGGAAAGCATAGGAGTTAAATGAGATGGGATTCTTGGCAGTGGTGGAGTCAATGATGGAAAAATGGAATTCTTGGAGGTTACCGAATGGGGGGTTTCATCATTATTGGCCATGGGAACAGGGGACTCGTGAGAGATAAAAGGCTTTGATACCACTGTGAGGTTGTGAGGTTGGGAATCAGAGAAAGACTTTCTTATTGATATATAGAACTGGTAACATTATAGAGTATATATACAGGGAACGTAATTAAGTCATTCAAGTAAAAGAGGAAAGAAAATATATACAATATATTCAGCAATTATAGTGCAGTAGATGCAGATTCACGTAATTACACCAGTAGATTCAGTTTCCTTAACACTCACTTGTCATTTTTTAATCCACATAAATGTCATGTGAATTGTTTTAGGTAAATTAAAAATGACAAGTTAGCATGTTTTCTTCCACATCATTGTTCCGGTTAGGTGATGAGAGAATAACATACATTAACAAAGTTGTGAGACATTTGACGATAAGTTAATTTTCCATTCAATTGGAATTTTATTTGAGAATTTTGTGTAGTAAATTTTGTGTAGTTTAAGATTTTAATTGAGGACAATTGAAGTTAAGGTCTGGAATTGTGAATTTTGTGCAAGTTCATCCTTATTCCATACTTTTGCCAAATACTAAAAATTGAAATCATAGTTATGAGTATAAAAATGTCAACCAACAAATAAAAATATTTGAAAGAAAAATAAAACTCAATTTGAAAAAATCTTTGATCTTTTATTGTTAATAAGTTCTTTATTAATTCATCTTGATCTCCAAAAGTATTCCAAAGGACTGAAAAGCCCCCTCAAAAGCGTCCCTCAATTCTAGTCTTAGATAATATTTATAGAATTTTAGAAAATTAATGGGAATATACGTAGGACCCATACTAAAATAATAAGGATTGGGATCAGAGAGTATCGACACTCTAAAGGCAGAACCCTCAAATTCACTCTCAAAAAATATCAATGGGGACATCCACCCCTCAAAAAAAAGTAGGGACAAATTGCTCTTCCAAATCATAAATCAATACAAATCACTCATTTTTCAACGTTTTTTGTTAAAAACTGCTGACATGGCAAACAGAAGTTTGACATTTTTCGTTGAAAAAGGAGTGATTTGTATTGATTAATGATTTAGAGGAGTAATTTGTCCCTACTTTTTTTTGAGGGGTGGATGTGTCCCGACCGATATTTTTTAAGTGTAGATTTGAGAGTTTTGCCCACTCTAAAAGAAGTGCCGATACCTTTCCCATATCGTGAAGACATAGTCCGTGTCAAAGATTTTGGACCAAAATGCAATTTTGGTGCTTCATTGGTAAAATTGTTCTGATCTCTCATCTTTCATTAATTGACATTTTGATCCTCATAGTTTTGATTTCTTCAATTTGGTCCTAAATATTACAGTTTCTTCCAATTAAGTTCTCTTCTACACAAGAAATGAAAATAATGTAAAAAAATTAAGTAAAATTTCATAAAACTCAACAAATTATCAATAATATAAAGGCAAAATTTCTACATTAATATTTATGAAATTCCAACGTATCAAAAAGTCAATTATACTTAAACTAAAACACTTATCCAAGCTCAATCTCAAACATCTTTTAAGAGTTTAAACTTAATGTAACTCCATTATTAGAAGCCCAAAACTTATATGAACTTTGATTCCATTGAGCTAAAAATCCAATTGAACAACTCTTATGTCACGTGGTAGAAACCAACTTGCAGGGATGGAACGAGGAAATTCAAGTAGGGGGGGGGGTGAGAATTATTGTTGAAAATTTAAAGCTTTTAAGTATTTTGTAAGACGCTAATTTATTTTTTTGAAAAAAAATTTTATTAGTCTTTTTCATTGATATATTCTTTAAAAAAATACAATTATTTTTATCAAAATGAAAAATAAAATATCACAACAATAAATTATGCAATGATCAATTAAAATATAAATAAATAAAAAACATGTTTGTTAGCCAAATCTCTAAAAAAAGGAAGGAAACCACTAAAAGATTATACTGTTTTAATAAACTTACATTGAAAAAGATAAAAACAACATATTTTTAAAGTAAGAATGAAAGTATTTTGATTTTATTAAAATAACATAATTTTAGGGTGTTTTTCCTTTTAATTTTTTTTGGAGTTTATATTAATAAATACTAATATTATAAAAAAAAATGTTAGAACATTTCTTTTAAAAAGTAAAATTTAACTTGGATTAATTTAACAAAAAAAAACATAATTATAAATTCAATAACAAAAGGTAAAAATTTACAGTGATGCCAAATAAACAAAAACTTTAAATTATTATATAGAATATTAAGAAAGATAAAAAAACACAAGAGAAAACTATAAATTTAAAGTTGTTTAAATAGAGAAGTAAAGTTTTTTTTTTATTATTATTTAGGCTTAATGGATAAAAAAAATGTTTAAGAACCCCAATTCTAAATTACTTAAATTAATATAAAGTTCATTTCATTTTGAATCATATCCTTACTTTTTGTAAACTCTTACTTAAATTTTAAATATTTTCTCTATATTTAAAATGGTTATTGAAATTCATACTATAAAAACAAAATTTTTAACAAATAAAAGTTACGGTACCATTTGAAATGTTTTTTAAAAGTTTAGCGGGGCAGCTGCCCCCCGCTTTCCTTCATTGGCTCCGCCCCTGCCAACTGTATTAGAATTTCTAAGGTGAGCTCATCCACAATTGATCATAGTCTATATTGTATGCAAAAATTGTGTTCATTAAATCTCTATTAAGGATCCCTCACGTCATCACAAAAATCAATATTTGTGGTGTAAAATAACAGTAATTAGTAAATATATAAAAAAATACCAATAAGAGTTTAGCTATTAATACTCACAAATGTAAAAATTTTAATTTAAAGTGAAGGTTAGGTTAAATTCAAATATTTATGATATCAAATAACTAATTCTTTCCATATTGATGTTCATGTTAAAAAAATCCAGGATGTATTCTTCTGTTATTTTCTAACCTCCAAGCACATTAATATCTGCAAAATCAGAACTGAGTCAAGCGAACAACACTGTCATTGAGTCCCAGTCGTCGTTATCAATAGGGGACGTCGTTCGAGTCTAGAGAACACTCACTAGGCCATATTAAAATGGATCTCAAGTCGACTCCGATCTGTGCTGATGAAAGGCGATTGGGGGCTGTGGAGAGTAAAGCCCATCTTTCGTTTCTAAATCAGAAATTAAAGTTGTTCATTTTGTACTTTTTTTTCCTTTTACTATTATTGAGAGATTTATATTTTATAATTTAAATTATATATAAAAAATATAATTTATCTTATAAATTTATTAAAATATTTTAAATAAAATTTTATAAAAAAAATAAAATAATTTTATTAAAAATATTTTAATAAATTCATATCACAAATCAGGTATTATTTATATGTGAATATTTTCATACTTGCAAGCAGTTACTTAAATTGCAAGTCATCCATTAAATAACGACGTGGCTCAAGGAGGTTCCCTATGTTGGTTGTACGTGTAAATACCTAGTCCAGCTTGCATTCTCAAAACTAATAGCAATTGGCAAAAACCATTCTTAAGGCCCTTGACTTGCTCCAAATTAGCATTTAAACCCTTAAACTAAAAATAATGCAATTAAGCCCTTCAACTTAGATTTGCAACAAAAGTGCCGACACCTATATTATTATGTCGACACTGTAAGTAGTTTTCAGTTTAAAAAACTTGCATTTTTAATTTAATTCTATTTTTTTCGTACTTCCCTTTGCCCCAACTAATTTGAAATCGACTTGAATGAGATCTCAAAAGAAAAAAACTCTTCTAATACTTATTTCTCTATTTATAAAACTCAAATTTTAAATTTTATTTAAGAAAAATTAAGTTCTTTTTATTTAAACTCAAAAATCGTTAGGAATTCATCATACTTTTCTACTAAAGTTATTTTAAAATAGATTAGAATCTGGAGTTTAATTGTAAAATAATTACAAATGTCACTTTTTATTAATAAAAGTTGAAGATATCACGTATATTGTTCATGATTCATATATTACAAAAGAATAATTTATGTGGTATTTTCAACTTTTACTAGTAAAAATAAGATATATAATTATTTTATAATTAAACTTCAGATTCTAATTTATTTAAAAAAAATTCTAATAGAAAAGTAGGACGAAATTTCCAATGACTTTTGAGTTTAAATAAAATAAATTTGGTTTTTCTTAAATAAAGTTTCAAATTTGAATTTTATAAATAAAAATATAGGTACCAGAGAAGTTTTTTCCTTATGAGATTTTACTCGAGTCGATTTCAAATTAAATAAAACAAAGGGAAGTACCAAAAAAATAAAATTAAATTAAAAATACAAGTTTTCTAAACTGAAAATGACTTAGAGTGTCAACACGATAATATAGGTGTTGGCACTTTTGCTACAAATCTAAGTTGAAGCGCTTGTTTGCACTAGTTGGGGAGCTGAGGAGCTTAATTGCATCATTTTTAGTTTAAAAGCTTAAATACTAATTTGAGATAAGTCTAGGTGCTCAAGAAAGGCTTTTCTATAACAATTTAGCCCAGCCAAAATCAGTATAGAATTGAGAATATATATTTAAATTAAAAAGAAAAATAATTTAGAAATGATATTTTTATATTATTTTTTGATATAATTTTATATATTATTTAAATTATTAATTTTTTTATTCATTTGAAATTTATGATATTAAATATATCACTTATTTAATAATATATAAAAATTATATAAAAAATTAATACAAAAAATTATTCATATAACACTACTTGACTAAAAATAAAGATCGGTTGACTTGATAGTGGGTCAAATCCAACTTTTCGAGCCCAAACGTAATTGGGTTTCAATAAATAAATAAATAATACAAGTCGGGTTCACGTGAAATGAAGCCGAGATTTTAAGGCATCGTTCCAAAATTTCAGAGATCAAAATTCTCACCATTTGTTCTCACCGTCCTAAACATGGACTGATTGTGACGGCGGACGCCTAGCTGCTCCAGTCTCAGATCGTTTGTTTTTGTTGTTAGAGGTATCAATGCCATGTCGAAGTCCGCCAATTTAGAATTTGGATGTGTTAATTCAATGAAAAACATATGAAACCGATTTTTCTTTAAATATATATTTTTTGGTACATACCAATTTTTCTTTAAAATATTTGATTCATCCAGTACCGTCTTAGAAAATTCTGCTAATTACAACATAAGCATTGAATAGTCCCCTAAATAAAACTGAGAACACAGCTGATATATTTACAATACCTCATCTGGTTGAGGATATAATGAACCATTGTCAACAGGCAATGAAGGTGGAGTTCCAGGTGGTATGCATGCAGCGCCATTCTCTCCAGCACATATGCACAAAGCTTCTGCATCCCTGAGGATTGCATCCAGGTCAATATGACCGCTCAATTCATTAATGAATTTCAAAAGGGTGTCGAAGTCCATTTGCTCTCCCATTATCTTGCTGCGATGGCGCTTCAAAATTGCAACACACACATACAGGTGCAGGTGCTCTGACAGATAATGTGTCCATAAGACTTCCCACAAACGCATTATCATTTCATATTCAAATTCCCTGAGAAAAATGCATCAGAACAGGAAAAGTCAGCTTGTGCATCTCTCAGATAATGTATCAGTGCATCAGAAAGAACAGAATTTAATGAAAAAAAAGGGGATTGGGATCACACAACTACATGCATCAAAGTTAAGGCCGAGATCAGGATACGACAGATTTCTATTTTTTTCTCGGCACTTCTCCAGCAATCCACAATCAAGGCCACACATTGTGTGCCATTTTAAATGAGCAGATAAATTTAAAAAAAGAAAAAAAAAAAGACAGGAATGTCATTCTCATCTACCTCACCAAGTTTCATGTGGCAGTATATGTTAATGCTTCATCAGATTCAGTAGATAACATGCAAGATATCTTTGAAAGAATGCTTACATTAAATGAATGTCGTTACAGAACAAAATAAAATTAAATAACCAAATATAGCCTGGAGTCTGACCTCTTAAATTGTATAAGAATCCAACGGAAACAGAAGAAATAGTTCAGGCAGTCATTCTGCTTGAAATAGTTATGCAATGGGAGGTCTAGCAACTCCACCAGCTGCCAAAAAAGAAGACATTGTAACTCCCAGATAGAAACCAAAATTCTATTCATAATCAAATATCCCATCAAGAACTTCAGTGAAGCAGAAAGTTGTGATACAATTTAATGCTTTGTTATATTGATTCCCATCCAAACGGCAATAAAATTAGAAGAATAGGACAATGAACTGAACCAAATAATCTCATGCATGGTTTAAATGTATCTAAGGGCTAATGGGATATTCTCTAATCATCTTAGACCTGTTTCTATAATTAGCAGAAATAAATGCCAGAAACAAGAGTAAAGGGGAAAGTCTAATATGTGGAATTTATAACTTATGAAGTGAAACCAAGCAGAATTAATGCATATAATGATAGAAAAATTATACCAAGAAAGTCATTACATGTTAAAATCTCCAGGCAATTCAACCATAACACACTATGTTTTCAAGGATATAGAGACCTTAGATATTGCAAAAAGCTGAGAGTGCATTCCACTTTGGTCACGATTAAAATTAGGCCCAAGCCGTTCCATTAACGCCACAAAACACCAAAACGATTCTGATTCATCCTCCATTACAAACAAAATGGGAGAAAGAAGATCACTCATACCCTGTAAAAGGCAGAGCAAAGATATGAGATGTCCAAAAACAAAACATAGCACCCACCAATCTGAAATTTCAATAGTCCACAAGGCCAAAAGTGGTAGCACCATTTGTTTACCTTGTAAATATCATAAAACAGAGAATGGACACAAAAAAATGCTTCCCACTCATTCACTTCACCCCCCAAACAAACTCCCATATATTGCAACAATATTTGGAGTAAAAAAAAAATGACGCAGAAGACTGTATGGAAACATTCAAGATTTAGCTCAGCTTTAAACATAATTTTTATCACTCTATGTATGAGGTTCAAATATATTGATTATTTTAAGAATGTATCATGAGGTGTCACGCTAATAGTACCTCTTTGGTTCACAATTCATTTTTTTTAACCATTTTTTTCTTATGGTTCCCTATATAGCATAGCTACATATTTTCTATTTCTTCAGTCTGCAGCTGGTGCCACTCTGGTTGGCCCCACTTCTGAAAGAGCTTCTATAATCCAAAATCAAAAGATGAGTCAAACACATGTTTCTTAGGAGTGTCTATAATCCAAAAGCTACAAATATGTAGCTTATGAAGCAAACCTTTAGCTGCTAAGCCTCTGAGTTTGGTAAAAAGTATCAATTTTTAAGATTATTTATAATTAATTTTGTGCAATCTCATGATTTAGCACTTTTCCTAAAGCTCTACTACAAACAACCATCCTAAAAGACCACCAGCAAGGCCAAATGGGCTCTAAGATGGTTATCAATGCATATCCTAAATATTTCATTCTTTTGAACCCTTCATAGCTGTAAAACAAATTTTGTTTATACTATAAGATGATAAGAAAGCCACTGCAGAAAAAGAAAAAAGGAAAAGCAATTACCTGACAGTAACCAAGGTCAAAGTTGTAGAAGGAATAAGTCAAAAGAATATCATGCAAAAGATTCACATGGGGATTATCATCCCCATCATAGAAAGGGAGTGATCTATCTGTCCTTACCTTCAAAAAAAAGAAGATTAAACTCAAAACAGCATCATCAAAATTTTAAGCGTAAAATCAATATATATTGAAAATGAGTCACACAAGTTCTATGCATACCACATCTTTCTCTATGAGGCCTTTCCTCTCCCTGAATTTTGTAAATCTTTTTGCCTGTTCAGGAGAGATACTCTGCCAAAAGTATTTGTCATAAAAGTATTAAGCCTCAAGGAAAAGAATTAATAAATATTAATAATACTAATCTTCAAAAGTAGAAAATAGAATGCAGGTAGATTCACAGGAGTAAAAGCACTACTATTATGGCACAAAATGCCTGAAAACCAGACAGGGCTCATCACCTATTTGTATCAAGCCACATGAGTACTATTACAGTTCTCTATACAATCTGGTGCACCTGTATCTCGTGGCGTGTCTATATGATGCATTCTAAGTTGAAGAAATTACCAAATAAGGAAACTATGTCATTTCTAGCATCTTTTTTCTTTTAATTTTTTTGGCACATTGTTTCCAGAATCTAGACTTGAAAAACAAATAGATGGATCAGATACTAGAAGACTGAAAAAGGACCAAACAAAAACAAATATCTGCTCAACTTCTTATATACGCTCCTGGACTCTTCCAAGTAGATAAAGTCTACATCCATTGACATCAGGAACAATCATGTAGCATTTTACTTTCCCATTAGCTCATACTACTAACAATTACCTTGTTTCAGATTACAGTTAACAATGAAACAAATATTACACATGAACAAGGCAAACTGATGAGGAACAAGAAGAAGAACCTAAAGAGGATAAAACCCTTAAGTATCACACCTAAGGCTATTTGCATCACACAACCAAGATTGCATCACACAATCAAGAGCAAAACTTGTTGGAAAATTCTGAATATTATTAACTGTATAATGAAAGAAACTACATGCATATTTATATAGAAACTACTAAGACTCCTACTAGAACTCCTATTCCAATTAGTCTATAACTTGAAATTTAAAATTTCTAATTTAACTAGGACTTAAGACTCTTGATCAAAGACCTAATCCTAATAAAAGTAGAAAAACTGATGATAACTACACTTGAATAAAAATAATTAGTTAAGAATTCTAAATAATCTAAATAACTATTGAATAAATTCTTCTTGTTCCTCATCACAAACACTAAGCCAACATGCACCATATGGCTCTTTCAAACCAGCAAGTGTTTTGTCCTTCTTTTTTTTTTCAGCCAATAACCTCCAAGATTCAGGTGCTACTATAAAAACAGAATGCTGAAACTTTCAAAACATAAGAAAAGTTTGTGATTTACTGCAAACCTGCCACTGGTGTTTTATCATTTCGTATTCTTTCTTTTTAACAGACCTTTGATATTCTCTCTCTGCATCTGTTGACTCATATGTATTATATCCCAAGAGGAATGACCAGACCTACAATCATAATTAAGTTTAACAAAGTTGCTAAGAAAAAAAGAGTTTCAGAATGAGGAACTAGTCAAACAAATAATAGCTTAAATAAGATTTCTTGCACACTACAAAATGCAAACCTCTCTTCGCAATTTGTGCTCAACTCCCCCATAAAATATTCTTTTTCGTAAGGCTTTTGCATCTACCACTCGCCCTTCAGAGTCCAAGAAAGTGGCCCACTACAAAGATAATTTGAAGTGAGCAATGCTAACAAAACTGAGGAATCCAAAATATGAGACTAGAAATCCTTCGAAAAACTAATGTATGGCAAACTGCTAACACAAGAGTTGAGGATTATATTCCAGGGAAGCTTCGTATAGCAGTAGCAATTATTTTGATTATATATTTGTCCTTTCTAAGAGTGAAAACTGAGTGGTAATAATTTCAATCCACGCCCCAGCCTGACCTATCAAAATAAGTGATGGGAATCTACAACAGAGATCCACTTAACAGAGACCCATGTGGATGCAATAAAAAAACAAAATTAAATTTGCAGCATCTTCCTCACCTCCTCAGAACCCAAGGGTGGCTGTCGTGGTTTTCCCCACACTAGAGATAGTTTATCAAACTGCCAGAAAATGGAAAGGGAAAAATAATCAATTTTAAATGGAAAAGATGGATTTCACATTCAATTACAGACATGCAATGATACAAATCTACAAAACTTCTATACAATCCACAAAAACTAGTTGCTTGAGGCTTGCATTTCAAGGAAAGAGGTAGTAATAGCCCTTACATACAAACTTCAAGAATGTGAATTCATTTGCATAATGCATTTAGATTCCATTTTTATCAACCACCAGCAAGTCATCATCAATTTTTTAATCAGTTACATCTGTGCAATTAAATGTTGAATATTTAAGTTTATTCCAGCATGATAGCCTTTAAAGATTTGCCTGAATGGCCTAAAAAATTGCTATAAAATACTCCTAGAAGTATAATTCAACTACAATAGTCAACTTCTTATATATGAAAATAAAATCCAACAACTATCGTCTGTTTATCTTGTAAAATCATAGCTTTGCTAGCTCTAAAGACCATCCAGTCAATCAAGAGTCTATCATTCCAGAACTTATCGATAGCCTTATTTTCTTTTGTCATTGATCTACAACATATTGGAAGTTTAATCTCAAAAGGTATATAACAGACCAGATGGCCAAGTACTAATGAGAAAATATTTTCCAGCTACCATTACTTGAAAATGAAATGTCAGAAGATTGCCTTAAGTAGTAACAAAAACAGGTTGCACAATTACCTTCCAGAAGTAAGAAAACAGAAATTTTCATGTCTGATCCATTTAATTCAAGCTCACATCAAAATCAATCAAATCAATCCAAAAAAACAAAGCCATTTCTACCACCACTAATATTCCCCAAGATAATTATCAATAACTACACAACTTTTATCTACATGCCTGCAGCCTAGACAAAAACCAATTTCCTGAAATTGTCACTTTCATAGGGATTTTTCTGGGCCAAGCCAAGAGCCAAGCATTCAGATTTCAGTTTATCCATGATTAAGAGCATTTAAACATCATTAAACATATATACACAGCACAACAAAATATTAAAGAAGCATCACTAACAACAATGCAATCATATTGAAATGCTTTGCAAACTAATTTGGCCCTCATTTCATCCCCTCACTTTCCTATTTACTGTATACAAAAAGAATGATCTTTAGATGGACTCCCATTTATACAGCAATCTTAATACATAGAATGGATGGAGAAAATTTTCACAGCAGAAATTTGCACACACAAGCATCCACGGTATTAAGGATTGATAAGGAAACTCTGACCTAATATCTAACAGGAGTTATGGTCATACTAGAAAAGGATAGAAATGTTGAAGAGAAGGAAACAAACTCAGAAACTATAATAGATATTAGGTTCCTTTTCTAACCTCCTTACAATCAATTAGCTCAAAAGTTTCCACAAGGGCAGAAGTTTCTTCATCATGATTGTGTTCAATATTTGGTTTTTTCTGTTTAACAAGGATAGAGTCTGATCAGATGCTCCTGAAATATAAGCTTAAGAGTTTCCAACCAAAATAATGCAAGTTCTGGAAATTGAATGAATGACATAAAACTTTGAACTGTTGCCAAACAAAAAACAGTTTACTATCCACAGTGATTTAGAAGCTATAAGGGTCATTAATACTCATCCCAAAAACTCTCAAAAAGCGATCTATTGCCAAGAAAGTATATTTTAGCATTATATATCCTTCCTTTTTTGATCTTCCTATTGTTTATTGGATGTGCATCTACTATGTATTGCCAGCACAAAGATATCAAGAAAACCACTAAATAAAAATGACCAACTTATTGGATAGCCACTATAAATGCAAATAACAAATTTATTAGCACACATCCAGACTGAAGTCCCCCACAAATGCAAATGATGCTGAAACAATGTTTGCATTGACCTATTTATAGCAAAAACTTCTAATCCTAAACAAAAAATATATTTCCACTTCTACACCTTCCAAAAAGAATGCAGTAGCATTTTTTGCATGGAATAAACAAGAGCCTCACTAACCTCTAGGAAAATTAACAAATAAGGCAACAGTTTTTCTCAAAACAATAATAGTTCAAAAAATAATTAGATGGAAGAGCTACCTCCAAAGGATCTGAGGGAACAAAGCTTTGATTAGGAACTTTCTTAGCAGGATCAGCTTCTTTTTGAGTGTAATCAATGGCAGACTGGCTATTCCTTTTCCTCTCAAAAGAACCATAACCATTACTATGAGTTTCGCGGAATAGTTGAGAAGTTTCCCGGGCAAATTTGGTCACAAGAGAAAATTTTTCTAACACTTGAATTGAAATATCTCGAGTAGGATCATGACCCTTTTGCCTCTGCCTCCCACCATACTGAAAGGTACTAGAACTTTCACCATGGAACTCCCCAACAGCCTTCAGGTGTTCTTGTGAAGGAGACTCCACAAGTGATTGGGGTGCAGATGGCAGGCCTGCAACAACTGCCCTAGGTAGCTCCAAAGAAGATAATGTTCTCTGTTGCAAGCAATTAAACATTCAGAGAGAAATTGTTTTACCGTCAACTGAGAAAACTAAGGTAAATATGTGATTTACTATTCATGTATATAAGTTCTGAAGTGGCTAGAAAATAGAGTGATTGAGTTAGCAAAAGTATGCATAACAAATATTTCTACTATTAATTAAGGAAGCTCTGAAAGTTCACAACAACGAAACTAAAAATTAAAATTTCCATAAATCATTGCTCTACTAACCAACAACATACCTTACCTCCAGATATTTAAATACTTTTAAAATAAAGATATGTTTAAATATTTTCTTACAATCTTTCCCAATCTCTTTTTTACTCAGCAATAAATAGCTGCACACCCTGATTTCATTTTCTTTTTCACTAATTATTTAAATTTTTAAATTAAAATCTTCTTAAAAAATTTTAGTTAGTTTCTCTTCCTGCTCCCACCTAACAGCAGGAAACTATACAGAAGATTCAAATTAAGAGAACCTAATGAAATTAATATTACTTATAACGACAAACCTATATAGCATTACACAAACCTGCAGAGGATTTTGAAGGTCATTCACCAGAAATACATTTGCATCTTCTGCTGACCTGGAAATAAGATATATAATAAAAACCTTAAAACAAATAAACATACAGAATTTTAAATAATCCATATGCATAAGACAGATGCAACATTACATAAATAGAGGAAAAAGTTATTGCACTAAGAATAAGTTGGCAGGAAAAGAAATGTAAAGAAAAAAGGCAACTAATCACCTATGCAGTTTATAAAAAGAATTGTGAATGATAAAACAACAATACATACTACGATTCACTTGCATAAAATTAAAAAATAATATAAAATGAAATAAAACTAAGAGAACTTTCATTCACGGATTAACAAGGAAAATAAATAGTCCAAATATTCTTATTCATCTGATTAGTCCACCCCAAAGTCCAAACTACCACACACCAAACTACCAAACACGCCCTTGATGGATTGGAAAATGTTTCAAATACTCTCATACTTCTGAATATTTACCTGAATAATAATCATTAATCACTCAACTAACACTAAAAGGATTCTACAGAATAAGATAGAAGAAAAGGCTTCAACCCTTGAATCCAAAAAATCCATGAAACTAGAGTTCAAAATTCATCAGAAGCAGTAAATGAAAGGCAAAACAAACATGAAAAGTTACATTACATCATTTTCATAGCACTTCAGCTTTATCCACCAAACAAATCAATTCTTTAGGATGTACCACCCAACTTTCATCCAATTTTAAGAAGACAAAAAAGGTAGAGAAGACCAGATGAACCCAAAAATTTCATTCTATCAATAATATTGATCACGCAAAATGCGAGTAGGCATATGCATGGTACCCAAACCAAACTGCATAAATGTAATAAATAAATAAACTGCTGACCTCATGAGAAAAACATGTTGTTTTATGGTAGCAAGAAACTCTCGGACTCCTCCATTGTAAAAATAAAGAGGAGGAAATGCAAGTCCTGCAAAAACATAATCTTCAGAGAACATATGAAAATATAAACACTTAGTATTACAACTAACTGCTTCCTGCTAAAAACATGTCAAGATAAAATCCTAAACTGAAAAAAGAAATGCTACAAAAGCATTGTCTGATTTATGATTAAAGCACTGACAGATAATTTTTATTTTAAATAAAGTGACAAGAATTAGGAAATATAGATATTCCACATGGCAGATTGCCAGATCATGAATAAATGAGAGATGGCACCAAGGGAAAATGACTTAAAGCTGAACAATCAAATTACAAAAACCTCATAATGCCTAGTTGGTTCTATAGTTTCCAGGTAAATTTGGCCATGCAATAAAAATGTCATAATTTTCAAAAAGAGAAGAATTTTGATAAGAAGAATCGGCTCCAATATCTTCACACAGACCACCAAAAAGAAATATGGAAAGGACATTCTCAAAGCTTTAGCTCATTTGCCAATATTGGGCTTCAGAAGTTTCATTCCATATATCAAAATTTCAGACGCTTAGCATTCTTTCACTTTCTGTTGTCAGTAGATTTCTATAAGCCATGCATCCCATTTCTTACCTGTTTCTATGTGGCACCATACTTTATGAGAGAAATCAATCAAAAGATTTGCACTACAAGAGTTATTAACATTTTTCTACTTAGTCTCAAAAGCACTAAAATGAGGGGATAGAGCAGACCCTCTTTCCATTCAAACTGCTCTAAGCACATCATATTCTTCACATATTCCCATTTCATAGCTCACATATTCCAATTTCATAGCACACATACACTTCTATGTAGCACACTTCCACAAAGCATTTGGAGTTTAATGTTAGGATTAGTTCATTTTCATTTTTAACAACCAGAATCACCAAATAACATTTCTAATATGTGCGTCTCATTATGCACGCATTATAGCCTAACTAACCAAAATCAACAAATCCCAGCAACCAACTAAATATATCATTTGAAAGGCATAGAACTTCAAAAGCCATAGCAGTCAAGATCTTGTAGCACAAAACATCAAAACAGAACCATTTGCAATTGCTTACCAGATGACAAAACAACAATTATGTACTGCCAACCAAGAGCTGGTGTGTGTCGACGAATGGACCTCACCTCAGTGAATGGCACTGCCCTAATAGTGTAAAGATTCATATCTATACAACATAACCACACAAATAGTTTCAGAAATTATACCTTCTGCAGTAGTAAATAAGCAAATAAACCATGTAGACAGAGAGTAGATCTCACAACCTTTCTCGGATAGCCTGGCACTGGAGCTCTGCCCTTTGTAAGGAAACCATGTCTGCAATCACAAATCAAACAAATATCACCGCATTCTTACAGGAGAATAATTAAAAAGATATATACAAACGAGCAATTAAGGATTAATTTGCTACCATGAACAGAGAAGATCCTTGTTTAATTAACTTCAGTCTTCCACTAATCCTCTCAGAAGCGAACTGAGTAGGGTGAATTGTGACGTTGTCCTTCGTATAAACCACTTCTGCTCCCTCAGGCTCGCTCGACGAGCTTCTCTTGCTGCTATCGCTCCGCATCATGCTCGCCGATCCCTGCTACCAAAACCAAATCAAACAATAAAACCTGAATTATATTCAAGAATCCGCCATCTCCGTATCAATCGATTGAAAAACTTCCGGTGATTTGAGGATCAGAAGTGAAAACGACAAAAAAATCAAAGGAGAAGAGAATGCGAAGCATCTCATAGAAATGAGATAGATTACTTGCTGTTGAGAGGCAGCGTAATCCGCGTCGTCCGATAAATCGTAAAGCTCTGTTTCTTGCATCGCTGGGATTTTTGCAGTAATTGAGAGGGGGTTTTGTATTTCTTATTTATCTTCGTGATGAAGTAATGAAAACGGTGAGGGATTAGTAAAAAGTAGCGAATGAATGAGGCCGCCGCGGCTTGAGGGGACCGTCGGCGAGATTGTCGTTATGTATGGGCTAGCAAATCTTGCAAATTATCCCCTGAACTTGTTGAAAGGTGGCGAAAAAGCCCCTAAACTGAAATGAGTAGCACATGACCCCTTAAACTCGTCACGGTGACAAATCAGCCCTTCTCCAACGTTGACGTCATCAGCAGGGGTGGGCAAAACCGGTTTTCGGTTAAAACCGAAACCGGTTTTAAAATAACTAATTTTTTTTTTAATTTTAAGAACCAAAATCGAATCAAATTTATCAAAAACCGATCGATTTGGTTATCAATAAATCAGTTTAAAATTGATTCGGTTTCGGTTTTTGATAAATAAATAATAATCAATTATTTTTCTAATAATATATTATATTTTATCACATATTTTATCATATTTTATTATATTTTGTCATATTTATCTTAATTTTAATTTTTAGATGGCTTATTTTTGGTTTTCAATTTTTTAGAGATTCAACCAAAATTGAATCAAAATATATTTGATTAATATTAAAACCAAAAATATAAAACCAAAAACCATGAAATTGAACCGAATTCATTTTTTCGGTTTAATTTTTGGATAAACCATTGGTTCAATTTAAAAATGCCCAGCCCTAGTCATCAGTACAAACTTAACCAGGCTTATGTTTTTGTAGGGTCTACCATCGACCAAGACTTGATGTAGCTCTTTTTTTGTTGATATTTTAATATTTTTTTAAAGGTAAATTCAATAAATAGTTTATCAATTATGTAATTTATTTTAGTTTACTTTAGAAATAATTTTTTTAAATGATCTATAAACTATCAATTTTGTTTCAAAATCGTTTACTTAACAAACATTCGGTTAACTGATTATCAAAATTCTTTCTAACTGTTGACAAGCTGCCTTTAAACTCTTGAAAAATGTTAAATTTAGTATATATATTTATGTTTTTTACAATATTTTGTTTTTAAAGTTTAAATTTTATATCATATGTAATAATTAATTAAGATAATAATTTTAATTTACATTGATTAAGATTCTAATTTTAATTTACAACAATCAATATTATAATTTAAATTTTATTATTTTTTAAAAAACTTAATATCATTATTAAATTACATATTTTTTCACTACTTTGTATAGAAAAATAAAAAAATTTATTTTTATTTTTAATACTAATAAGACATGCATGATTTTGATTTGAAGATTTATAAAATTGAAATGAATTTTTATTTTTTCAGGTAATTTTAATTATATGTTGGTACTCATTTAATTAAATTAAATTTTGGAAGGGTTTATTTATTAAAAATATTAATATTTAATAATAAATTAAAATTTTTTAGAAATTATAAAATTTAAATTATAATATTGATTATTGTAAATTAAAATTAGAATTTTAATGAATATAAATTGAAATTTCATCTTTGTTAATTATTATATTTGACAAAAAATTTTGAATTTTGAAAACAAAATATTGTAAAAAAATAAAAAATATATATATTATATTTAACATTTTTCAAAAATTTAAGGGCAGCTTATCAATAGAAAATGTTTGCCAAAATAGATCATTTTGAAAGGAAATTGATAATTTATAAATCATTTAAAAGAAAAAATTATTTTTAAATTAAACTGAAATAAATCACATAATTAATAAATTATTTATTAAATTTAACATTTTTCTAAATGTGAAATTAATAAAGTAAATAAGTAAAGGTTCTTAAGTTAGTTTTTTTATTTATGTTTTCAAGATATAATTTAAGAATATATTTATTTTATATTTTTATTATTAATTTATATAAAAAATTAAAACAAATAAATTTTA